GCCAGAACCAAATATTTTTTTTATGTTTAAGTCAGATAAAATGTTACGAGGCCAGGCTACAATACTAAATTAATTATAATGCTGATAAATGCAGGGATTAAAAAAGAAAATAGAAAACGAGTTCATTGTTAACACCGAGAGTTTGGGGAAACCCCGGAAAGTAGTTCCAAATATCAGATCAGGTGACCACCCATTCCGCCATTCAGCATGAACGAAACAGTGCAAGCTTTAAAGTATGAAATTATTTGTATTTGAACATAGATAAACTAAGAAGCAAAAGAAAGTATACATAGATGTTTTTTTATGTAATTGAAAAATGAAAGATCTGTTCTTAAATTTGATTATGTCTATTTAACCATCACTCAATCCTAAAACAGTTTATGAAAAATATTCTGTGGCTGGATAATTTTCTGTAAACATAAGTTGGTTCAATGAAGACTGAGATACGAAATAGATTTGCCCCTACCATATTTGAAATATTGTAAATTTGTGCCGAAAAAAAAACAAACATTGATTTTTCAAAGATAAGATGTTTAAGATACCCACAAGCAGTTGTGTAAGATGCGATTTTTGTAAAATTTAAAAGTTTTATATTCAAATCATATTTTAAACGATAAAACCATGAAGAAGTATCCTTCGAGTGCTGACTGAGCGCCAGCACATTCATGTTTTGAATATAAGCTATTTCCGATGGAAAATAAAACATATGATGAAATCAACTGAGTGCTAATTCTTATTTCGAGCTACAATGTCTTTTTTTTTAAATTTTCCATCACATTTGAAATTTGTTTATAAGAAATGGTTCCATTTAGTCTAGCATTATGCTCTGTGTATTTCCACTGTCAATTGTCGGAGGATTTATCCTAGTTTAAAATTACACACTTCAACGGCTGACGAATACCACATGATATTGTGACATAGGAGGGCGATGGGTGGCCAAACAGGCTGAAGAGAGAGGTCAGGATGAGTGATCTTCAGGCCAGAAAATTGAGATTATATTACTTCGCAAAACCACCGCGTCAAAGTCAACTGCCATGTAAAGTTTGGAACCATCGGCCATATGTTATAGGAAGAAGAAGAGGAATATTTATTGTACATAAACACCCACAGGGGGCAGGGTACACAACATGAACATGACTAATTAAAACATTGACATAAAACAGAATACAAATATTGCTATGATTATATTGTTAGGGAGGAGATGCAGATTTTCGTTGCCTGAACATTTTGTGAATGAAATTAGATATAATTTTTGCAAAGGGCTCTGGTGGAATTAATAGTGTTTTTAGCGATATTGGGTGCATAGCAAAGCCGGGTGATGAATTTAGTTCCCCTCTCAGATCTTTGTAGAGAGGGCATCGCAACAGGATGTAGCAACGGCTACAACACAATGGGTTAAACCGTTAACTCTATGACTTCCGTGAGGAACGCCTGTATCATGTTCACCTTTATCTACATATAGTAGTCTGTCCTACAGAACCTGATACAAATTAATATCAAATACAGCCCATGCAAGTCTATAATGTTTGGCAAGTCTAGATCACTGCAGTATCAGAAAATGAAGAGAGTCACTGGGCTCCTTTTTATTATATTTTTATTAAGATACCTGAACAACTGTTTTTTTATGTAAGATGTGTTCATTTCTGAGACTAGATGCTAGTCTACTACATTTAGTTAAATCAGGAAATGTGAAAGATGGTTTAATATATCAACGTCCTTGTAATTCTTCCACAAACTTTAAATTTTAGTGGACACTAGAGGCCCAGTTGACTCACTGTAACCAAATTTGAAGATCATGGGTTCGAATCCCAGATTCTCCCACGTTTTCCTGAAACGGGTGGCCCAGAGGGTTAAGCTACATTGTAGGTACTACGCTATAACGATATTCCAGTGTGCATATTCGAATTCAAGAAATTATGATAATTTGGTCTGTCTGCACCATACTTATGCTTATATAATATTCGCTGGTTGCATCACACATTCAAGTGGTATATGAGATTTTAATAAAATACCGTCCAAGGCGGTGTTGCACTCAACTCCCTGACTTAATCACTCAAATGAGTTTGGCATGATACAACACTGATAAGGCCAGCGCCTTGATCCATGTTGAGAGAGTAACACCAGCAACGATAGTTCTTATCATGGTTAGTGAGTGAGTTGGATTGTACGCCGCTTTAACAGTATTCCAGTTATATTACGGCGTGTCAGCGTAATGTGGGAGGAAAACCCAAACTCTAGTGAAACCCACGAGCAAGGGTATGGTGCTGACAAACCTGGAAACAGAATGGGGGTGATAACGGGATTCGAACCCACGATCGAAGATTTCCATGATCGACGAACAGCGAATTGTGGTCTCTGACTTGGACACCCGTGTTCCTTTTCACCGACCACTCTTGCCCTTTGTGTAAGTGGTCTCTGACTTGGACACCCGTGTTCCTTTTCACCGACCACTCTTGCCCTTTGTGTAAGTGGTCTCTGACTTGGACACCCGTGTTCCTTTTCATCGACCACTCTTGCCCTTTGTGTAAGTGGTCTCTGACTTGGACACCCGTGTTCCTTTTCACCGACCACTCTTGCCCTTTGTGTAAGTGGTCTCTGACTTGGACACCCGTGTTCCTTTTCATCGACCACTCTTGCCCTTTGTTTAAGTGGTCTCTGACTTGGACACCCGTGTTTCTTTTCATCGACCACTCTTGCCCTTTGTGTAAGTGGTCTCTGACTTGGACACCCGTGTTCCTTTTCATCGACCACTCTTGCCCTTTGTGTAAGTGGTCTCTGACTTGGACACCCGTGTTCCTTTTCATCGACCACTCTTGCCCTTTGTGTAAGTGGTCTCTGACTTGGACACCCGTGTTCCTTTTCATCGACCACTCTTGCCCTTTGTTTAAGTGGTCTCTGACTTGGACACCCGTGTTCCTTTTCATCGACCACTCTTGCCCTTTGTTTAAGTGGTCTCTGACTTGGACACCCGTGATTCTTTTCATCGACCATTCTTGCCCTTTGTGTAAGTGGTCTCTGACTTGGACACCCGTGTTCCTTTTCATCGACCACTCTTGCCCTTTGTTTAAGTGGTCTCTGACTTGGACACCCGTGTTTCTTTTCATCGACCACTCTTGCCCTTTGTGTAAGTGGTCTCTGACTTGGACACCCGTGTTCCTTTTCATCGACCACTCTTGCCCTTTGTGTAAGTGGTCTCTGACTTGGACACCCGTGTTCCTTTTCATCGACCACTCTTGCCCTTTGTGTAAGTGGTCTCTGAATTGGACACCCGTGTTCCTTTTCATCGACCACTCTTGCCCTTTGTTTAAGTAGTCTCTGACTTGGACACCCGTGTTCCTTTTCATCGACCACTCTTGCCCTTTGTGTAAGTGGTCTCTGACTTGGACACCCGTGTTCCTTTTCATCGACCACTCTTGCCCTTTGTTTAAGTGGTCTCTGACTTGGACACCCGTGTTCCTTTTCATCGACCACTCTTGCCCTTTGTTTAAGTGGTCTCTGACTTGGACACCCGTGTTTCTTTTCATCGACCACTCTTGCCCTTTGTGTAAGTGGTCTCTGACTTGGACACCCGTGTTCCTTTTCATCGACCACTCTTGCCCTTTGTTTAAGTGGTCTCTGACTTGGACACCCGTGTTTCTTTTCATCGACCACTCTTGCCCTTTGTGTAAGTGGTCTCTGACTTGGACACCCGTGTTCCTTTTCATCGACCACTCTTGCCCTTTGTGTAAGTGGTCTCTGACTTGGACACCCGTGTTCCTTTTCATCGACCACTCTTGCCCTTTGTGTAAGTGGTCTCTGACTTGGACACCCGTGTTCCTTTTCATCGACCACTCTTGCCCTTTGTTTAAGTAGTCTCTGACTTGGACACCCGTGTTTCTTTTCATCGACCACTCTTGCCCTTTGTGTAAGTGGTCTCTGACTTGGACACCCGTGTTCCTTTTCACCGACCACTCTTGCCCTTTGTGTAAGTGGTCTCTGACTTGGACACCCGTGTTCCTTTTCACCGACCAGTCTTGCCCTTTGTGTTCAGGTGTAGAGTAAGTTTATAAATTAATCGTTTCAGTGCATACCTTTGACATTCACAGTAAAGTGAGTGAGTGAGTGAGTTGGGTTTAACGCCGCTTTTAACAGTATTCCAGTTATATCATGGCGTGTCAGCTTAATGTGGGAGGAAAGCCCGAAGTGATGCAGGTCTCAGATGTTTACCACTTCTGTGAAACCCACGAGCACGGGTATGGTGCTGACAAACCTAGAAACATATTTGGGGCGAACCGGGATTCGAACCCACAATCATAGGTTTCTGGCTTGGCCAAGGGACGCAACTCTGCACAGCGAATTAAACCCATGCGCATGCATCTCTATTTTCCAAAGCTGTAGCTCAAACACGGGTCTCTCCTCTTTGGAATTCATGATTACAATCTGCGTTTAACATTATGCTCTGTATTCTTATAGTGGGCACGGGTAACCCAGTCGTCTAAGGCGCCGCAATTCGCTGAGCAGAGTTGCGTCCCTTTGGGCACGTTTGAAACCTATAATTGTGGGTTCGAATCCCGGTTCGCCCCGATTATGTTTCTAGGTTTGTCAGCACCATACCCGTGCTCGTGGGTTTCACCGAAGTGGTAAACGTCTGAGACCTGCATCACGTCGGGATTTCCTCCCACATTAAACTGTCACGCCGTGATATAACTGGAATACTGTTAAACCCAACTCACTCACTCACTGTATCCTTGTACCTGTGTCTAATCAAATGTTATATATTTCCCGTTTACAGTAGTTTGGAGAAATTTTGCACCCTGCCATAAGGATGTTTGTGCAATAAAAAAAAATCTTACCTTAACGTATAGGTTTTGCGTAAATATTTCATTACACGAATTAGTACAACTACGAGTTGCGGAGGCCTCTAAAACAAATGTGGCAGGTGGGTGTTCTAAATGCATTATCCCGAAGTGGATGCGCAGTATGAAGTACGACTTCTCGTACATGATGGAGTAAGGAAAAGAGGAAGACGAAGATTTTATTGTAAATAAACACCTACAGGGGGCAGGGTACAAAGCATTGACATGACTAGTTTTAAAGGAAGCGCTGATGATCATAATTGTCGTTGTGATGCATTCGGTGCTCGGTGCTTTCGTTTCTGAATAAGGCAAGAAAACAAGTTATGTGGCTTCAGACAAATTCCTCGTCTTTGACAAAATATAACACCTGGTGATATTCCCGGTAGAAACTAGGGTTTGTTTACAATGTAGTTGTACACGACAGATGTTCAAAATTGGTATATCGTCTTTAGATTCAACAAAATCAGTGGATGCGCTATGGTGTCACTGAGTTGTTTGGTCCATCACTTGATTGTCTGGTCCAGACTCGACTGTTTGCGGGAGGCGTCGTATGGCAGGAGTGCTGCTGTGTGGCATCGGTCACAGTCGGAATCCTACGTCATTGTGCACATTGTGCCAGTGCCTGGAGCTTCCGGTGGGGCAGGGCTTAGGATTTACCCTTTTCGCGAACACCCGGCGTCCTCGATGATTTTCAGTGACCCAAACAAATATTCACTGCTATATTTCCTTTTGGCTGCTACCTGCTGTATTAAATAACATCCACACACCTTCTTTCTTAAGACTTGTGAAATAAATTTGGTTCTTCGTAATAATATGGGCGTAATTTGCCACCTGCAGGAGAACGTGGCACACATAGGATAGAGGGGTGGTCAAGCAGACATATACAGATTTGTAGACACAAGAGAAAAATATTTATAAAAAATGTATTCTCGTGTATATTGACAGACAGTTGGACGACGTTAATTAATTGAGCACGAAAGTTGTAATTGACAACTGGCATTGTAAACATGTTGACTAACAGTAATGGAGTGACATAAAAGTAGATGAAAAAAGTTGACTAAGGCACTCAGTGGGTGTAATTATCGCGTAAAGAAGGACGCAATGAGGGCCAGGAGGGCACAAGCAATGGACACTTGAAACATCCCAGCGGAGGAGCCTGTAAGATAGAGGAGAAACGTCCACATGACTGTATACCCGAACATCAATCACATAGCATACAAATAACCCATGTGATCCAAGAATAAATAATGATATGTTTCTCTAGGTTCCGTTGACCTGACTTTCGTCAAGACTTCAACATCATACCCTTAGATTTTAACATTGTAAATATATGTCTCTTACAGGTACATGATCTATAACTTCATACGATGTACGTTGTTTTTGCAGATTAAGAATTTTGCTTTCGTAAAGGTAATACCTCTCACATATCTTTGTATATTCTCTCTGAGTACAGTGTGTCTGTGTGGGAAAGCGTCAGATAATTGTGTGGAAAGTGGAATGAATATAATGTGTTCGGGAGAGCGTTAGAGACAGGGGTGGAGAGCGGGATGAATAAAGTGTTTGAGAGAGCGTTAGAGACAGGGATGGAGAGCGGGATGAATAAAGTGTTTGAGAGAGCGTTGGAGACAGGGATGGAGAGCGGGATGAATAAAGTGTTCGGCAGAGCGTTGGAGACACGGATGGAGAGCGGGATGAATAAAGTGTTTGAGAGAGCGTTGGAGACAGGGGTGGAGAGCGGGATGAATAAAGTGTTTGAGAGAGCGTTGGAGACAGGGGTGGAGAGCGGGATGAATAAAGTGTTTAAGAGAGCGTTGGAGACAGGGATGGAGAGCGGGATGAATAAAGTGTTTAAGAGAGCGTTGCAGACAGGGGTGGAGAGCGGGATGAATAAAGTGTTTGAGAGAGCGTTGGAGACAGGGGTGGAGAGCGGGATGAATTAAGTGTTTGAGAGAGCGTTAGAGACAGGGATGGAGAGCGGGATGAATAAAGTGTTTGAGAGAGCGTTGCAGACAGGGGTGGAGAGCGGGATGAATAAAGTGTTTGAGAGAGCGTTGGAGACAGGGGTGGAGAGCGGGATGAATTAAGTGTTTGAGAGAGCGTTAGAGACAGGGATGGAGAGCGGGATGAATAAAGTGTTTAAGAGAGCGTTGCAGACAGGGGTGGAGAGCGGGATGAATAAAGTGTTTGAGAGAGCGTTGGAGACAGGGGTGGAGAGCGGGATGAATTAAGTGTTTGAGAGAGCGTTAGAGACAGGGATGGAGAGCGGGATGAATAAAGTGTTTGAGAGAGCGTTGCAGACAGGGGTGGAGAGCGGGATGAATAAAGTGTTTGAGAGAGCGTTGGAGACAGGGGTGGAGAGCGGGATGAATTAAGTGTTTGAGAGAGCGTTAGAGACAGGGATGGAGAGCGGGATGAATAAAGTGTTTGAGAGAGCGTTGGAGACAGGGGTGGAGAGCGGGATGAATAAAGTGTTTGAGAGAGCGTTGGAGACAGGGGTGGAGAGCGGGATGAATAAAGTGTTTAAGAGAGCGTTGGAGACAGGGATGGAGAGCGGGATGAATAAAGTGTTCGGCAGAGCGTTGGAGACAGGGATGGAGAGCGGGATGAATAAAGTGTTTGAGAGAGCGTTGGAGACAGGGGTGGAGAGCGGGATGAATTAAGTGTTTGAGAGAGCGTTAGAGACAGGGATGGAGAGCGGGATGAATAAAGTGTTCGGCAGAGCGTTGGAGACAGGGATGGAGAGCGGGATGAATAAAGTGTTTGAGAGAGCGTTGGAGACAGGGGTGGAGAGCGGGATGAATAAAGTGTTTGAGAGAGCGTTGGAGACAGGGGTGGAGTGCGGGATGAATAAAGTGTTTGAGAGAGCGTTGGAGACAGGGGTGGAGAGCGGGATGAATAAAGTGTTTAAGAGAGCGTTGGAGACAGGGATGGAGAGCGGGATGAATAAAGTGTTTAAGAGAGCGTTGCAGACAGGGGTGGAGAGCGGGATGAATAAAGTGTTTGAGAGAGCGTTGGAGACAGGGATGGAGAGCGGGATGAATAAAGTGTTTAAGAGAGCGTTGGAGACAGGGATGGAGAGCGGGATGAATAAAGTGTTCGGCAGAGCGTTGGAGACAGGGATGGATAGCGGGATGAATAAAGTGTTTGAGAGAGCGTTAGAGACATGGGTGGAGAGCGGGATGAATAAAGTGTTTGAGAGAGCGTTGGAGACAGGGATGGAGAGCGGGATGAATAAAGTGTTTAAGAGAGCGTTGGAGACAGGGGTAGAGAGCGGGATGAATAAAGTGTTTGAGAGAGCGTTGGAGACAGGGGTGGAGAGCGGGATGAATAAAGTGTTTAAGAGAGCGTTGGAGACAGGGATGGAGAGCGGGATGAATAAAGTGTTCGGCAGAGCGTTGGAGACAGGGATGGAGAGCGGGATGAATAAAGTGTTTGAGAGAGCGTTGGAGACAGGGGTGGAGAGCGGGATGAATAAAGTGTTTAAGAGAGCGTTGGAGACAGGGATGGAGAGCGGGATGAATAAAGTGTTCGGCAGAGCGTTGGAGACAGGGATGGAGAGCGGGATGAATAAAGTGTTTGAGAGAGCGTTGGAGACAGGGGTGGAGAGCGGGATGAATAAAGTGTTTGAGAGAGCGTTAGAGACAGGGATGGAGAGCGGGATGAATAAAGTGTTTAAGAGAGCGTTGCAGACAGGGGTGGAGAGCGGGATGAATAAAGTGTTTGAGAGAGCGTTGGAGACAGGGGTGGAGAGCGGGATGAATAAAGTGTTTGAGAGAGCGTTGGAGACAGGGGTGGAGAGCGGGATGAATAAAGTGTTTAAGAGAGCGTTGGAGACAGGGATGGAGAGCGGGATGAATAAAGTGTTCGGCAGAGCGTTGGAGACAGGGATGGAGAGCGGGATGAATAAAGTGTTTGAGAGAGCGTTGGAGACAGGGGTGGAGAGCGGGATGAATTAAGTGTTTGAGAGAGCGTTAGAGACAGGGATGGAGAGCGGGATGAATAAAGTGTTCGGAAGAGCGTTAGAAACAGGGATGGAGAGCGGGATGAATAAAGTGTTTGAGAGAGCGTTGCAGACAGGGGTGGAGAGCAGGATGAATAAAGTGTTCGGCAGAGCGTTAGAAACAGGGATGGAGAGCGGGATGAAAAAAGTGTTCGGAAGAGCGTTAGAAACAGGGATGGAGAGCGGGATGAAAAAAGTGTTCGGAAGAGCGTAAGAGAAATATGTGGAGGGTGGGATGAATAAAGCGTTCAGGAGAGCGTTAGAGACAGAGGACAGTGATGGAGAGCGGAATGACTATAGTGTTCGGAAGAGCGTAAGAGAAATATGTGGAGGGTGGGATGAATAAAGTGCTCGGCAGAGCGACAGGGATGGAGAATGGGTAATACAGCGTTGTAGAGAGTCGTGGCGCATGGCCACATGAAAGTAATATGATACTTACATGTACTGGAATCAAAACCACTTTTCTTCATGCTATCTTTCATAGTTTTCAATACTGAATCAATATCGCAGCCTTTTTTCGACGACACACAACCTTCGTATTCACCAAAGACTCTGTAAGGGAATCAGAGGGGGTACACAGCATATACACACAGTCGGCTGACAGTTACATCTTCTGCTGGTCTCATCTCCTAATATCATGAAACAATTGGGTTTGAAGCGAATTCTAAATCATGTTTTGATAAGAAGTAAGCATGAACGAAACTGATATACATCAAAATACAAAATCAACATGAGCAGTGGGTGAGTGGGTACTGACAACATGGGCAGTGGGTGAGTGGGTACTGACAAGGTGAGGTGAGGTGAAATTGGGTTTAACGTCGCGTCCAAGATTATTGCACTTATATAGCGACGTGCATGCACGTGTGTGTGTGTGTGTGTGGCTGCTTGTACTAGACCGGACTGATGCCGATTTATAGTGCTAGCCCACTGAGATACCATGCCGCAGTTTAACATGAATACCCCACTCAGACACAGTATACTGACTCCGAGCCGACCAGTCCTTGTTTTAGCCCCTTAATGCCGAGAGCCAGACAGGGTAACAACAAGTACCATCTTTTAACGACTTTTGGTATGACGCGGCCGGGGATCGAACCCCGGACCTTCCGCTCTCCGGGCGGACGCTCTACCACAAGACCACGGAGGCGGTTTGGGTACTGACAAGAGTGGATGGGCGAGTGGATGGTGACAACAGAGACAGTTGCGAAATGGGTACTGACAACACGAACAGTGGGTGAGTAGGAACTGGCAACAGGGACAGTGGATTAATGGGTACTAACAACAGGGACAGTGGATGAGTTCTGACAATAGGGGCAGTGGATGAGTGGGTACTGACAACAGAGACAGTGTATTGATGGGTACTAGCATCAGGGACAGTGGGTGAGCGGGTACTGACAACAGGGGAAGTGGGTGAGTAGGAACTGGCAACAGGGACAGTGGATTAATGGGTACTAACTACAGGGACAGTGGGTGAGTTCTGACAACAGGGGCACTGGGTGAGTGGGTGCTGACAACAGAGACAGTGGTTGAGTGGGTACTGACAACACGAACAGTGGGTGAGTTGGTGCTGACAACAGGGACAGTGGGTGACTGGGTACTGACAACAGGGACAGTGGGTGAGTGTGGACTGACAACAGAGACAGTGGTTGAGTGGGTACTGACAACACGAACAGTGGGTGAGTGGGTGCTGACAACAGGGACGGTGGGTGAGTGGGTACTGACAACAGAGACAGTGGGTGAGTGGGTGCTGACAACAGGGGCAGTGGGTGAGTGGGTGCTGACAATAGAGACAGTGTGTGAGTGGGTGCTTACAACAGGGGCAGTGGGTGAGTGGGTGCTGACAACAGGGGCAGTGGGTGAGTGGGGACTGACAACAAGAGCAGTGGGATAGTGGGTTCTGACAATATGGACAATGGATGTGTGGGTTCTGACAACATGGACAGTGGGGGAGTGGGTACTGACAACAGAGACAGTGGGTGTGTAGGTACTGACCACAGGGGAAGTGGGTGACTGGTTATTGACAACAGGGACACTGGGTGAGTGGGTGCTGAAAACAGAGACAGTGGTTGAGTGGGTACTGACCACAGGGGAAGTGGGTGACTGGGTATTGACAACATAGACAGTGGGGGAGTGGGTGCTGACAAATGAGACAATGGATGCGTGGGTTCTGACAACATAGACAGTGGGGGAGTTGGTACTGACAACAGAGACAGTGGGTGAGTAGGTACTGACCACAGGGGAAGTGGGTGACTGGGTATTGACAACATGGACAGTGGGGGAGTGGGTGCTGACAAATGAGACAGTGGGTGAGTGGATACTAACAACAGGGACGGTGGGTTTATGGGTACTGACAACAGGGACACTGGGTGAGTACTAACAACATGGACCGTGGGTTAATGGATACTGACAACAGGCACAAAGAGTGAGTGACTACTGACAACAGGGACAGTGGATAATTGACCGAAAGGACTATGGGTGAGTGGGTACCGACATCAGAAGACAGTGGGTGTATTTGATTAATAATTTTTACCTGCATAACGTTGCAGAGTCTTCTGCCCCCTGATTTTTGCTTAGTATCTCTGAACATTTCCCGAGAGCTTGGAAGTCGCAATCACTTCCACCAGCAGGCCCCCCGCCAGCACCGCCAGCACCGCCAGCACCACCAGCACCACCAGCACCACCAGCACCTAGTAGGAGCAAAAACAAACAGAAGCTGATGAATGTAGTATTTCTTCCGCTCTGGAGAAAGATCGGCTAAACTCTCCAAGTTAGACTGCGGCAGCAATCTCAGTGGGCAATCGCTACACACGCACACGCACACGCACACGCACACGCACACACACGCTCTCACACACTCACACAGACACTCACACACATACTAACACACACACGCACGCACGCACGCACGCACGCACACACACACACACACACACACTAACAAACACACGCACGCACGCACACAAACAAAAACACACATACACTAACGCACACATATATGTGTCGAAAAAAACTTGAAAACTACGAAAGTATGCTTTTAGGTTTGGTGTTGATCCATATTTTAAGGACTAGCACTGTTCCGCTACACACCGTTTATCGACAAATACTCCTGGTAAATCAGGAAAACACTTTGATGGTTTGGAAACCAGCTTTAGAAGATTGCTTTTGAGACAATGTAACAGGATATTTGGACAATTAACTCGCGGAATACCTCCCGCTAAGACGGTTGTTGTAATTGATGAAGAGAGAAAGAAAATGTTTTTGGTTCCTCTGATATTATGTATAAAACGTTGTGAAGTTAATATAATAGTACTTACATGAATTCAAATCAAAACCAGATTGCTTCATTTGATCTTCAGTAGTTTTCAGTAATGAAGTCAGATCGCAGTCTTTTTGGGCTGATACACAATTTTTGAACTCGCCGTATATTCTGTGGGCAAAATCATATCACATAGCTTTCAACAATAGAGACAGTGGATGCGTGGTGACTGACAACAGAGAAAGTGGGTGAGTGGGGACTAACAACAGAGAGAGAGGGTGAGAGGAAACTGACAACAGAGACAGTGGGTGAGTGGGGACTGACAACAGAGACGGTGGGTGAATGGGGATTGACAGCAAAGACAGTGGGTGAGTGGGGACTGACAACAGAGACGGTGGGTGAGTGGGTACTGATAACAGGGGCAGTGGGTGAGTGGGTACTGATAACAGGGACAGTGAGTGAGTGGGGACTGATAACAGGGATAGTGGGATAGTGGGTACTGACAACAGGGACACTGGGTGAGTGGGTACTGATAACAGGGACAGTGGGTGAGTGGGTACTGATAACAGGGACAGTGGGTGAGTGGGTACTGACAACAGAGACAGTGGGTGAGTGGGTACTGACAACAGAGACAGTGGGTGAGTGGGTTCTGACAACAGGGACAGTGGGTGAGTGGGAACTGACAACAGGGACAGTGGGTGAGTGGGTTCTGACAACAGAGACAGTGGGTGAGTGGGTTCTGATAACAGGGACAGAGGGTGAGTGGGAACTGACAACAGGGACAGTGGGTGAGTGAGGACTGACAACAGAGACAGTGGGTGAGTGGGTTCTGACAACAGGGACAGTGGGTTAGTGGGAACTGACAACAGGGACAGTGGGTGAGTGGGTTCTGACAACAGAGACAGTGGGTGAGTGGGTTCTGATAACAGGGACAGAGGGTGAGTGGGAACTGACAACAGGGACAGTGGGTGAGTGGGTTCTGACAACAGAGACAGTGGGTGAGTGGGTTCTGACAACATGGACAGTGGGTGAGTGGGTACTGATAACAGGGACAGTGGGGGAGTGAGGACTGACAACAGAGACAGTGGGTGAGTGGGTTCTGACAACAGGGACAGTGGGTGAGTGGGAACTGACAACAGGGACAGTGGGTGAGTGGGTTCTGACAACAGAGACAGTGGGTTAGTGGGTTCTGACAACATGGACAGTGGGTGAGTGGGAACTGACAACAGGGACAGTGGGTGAGTGGGTTCTGACAACAGAGACAGTGGGTGAGTGGGTACTGACAATAAAGACAGTAAATGTGTGGGGACTGATACAAAAGACAGTGGAATCTGTGGGTTGTGATAACAAAGACAGCAGTATCTGTGGGTTCTGATAACACAGACAGTGAATGTGTGGGTACTGATTACAAACGACAGTAATCTGTGGGTACTGAGAACAAAGACAGCAGTAGCTGTGGGTACTGATTACAAAAGACAGTGAATGTGAGGGTACTGATAACAAAGACAGTGAATGAGTGGGTACTGATAACAAAGACAGTAAATCTGTGAAAAATGAATACAAAAGATAGTGAATATGTGGCTACAGATAGCAGAGACAGTGAATCTTTGGGTACTGATAACACAGACAGTAAATTGGTGGGTACTGAGAACAAAGACAGCGGTATCTGTGGGTTCTGACGACACAGACAGTGAATATGTGACTACAGACAGCAAACAACGAAAAAGTGTGGGTACTGATAACAAAGACAGTGAATGTGTGGGTACTGATAATAAAGACAGTAAATGTGTGGGGACTGATACAAAAGACAGTGGAATCTGTAGGTTGTGATAACAAAGACAGTGAATGTGTGGGTTCTGATAACAAAGACAGTGAATGTGTGGGTACTGATAACAAAGACAGCGGTATCTATGGGTACTGATAACAAAGACAGTGAATTCGTGGGTATTGATAACAAAGACAGTGAATGTGTGGGTACTGATAACAAAGACAGCGGTATCTGTGGGTACTGATAACAAAGACAGTGAATGTGTGGGTACTGATAACAAACACAGTGAATGTGTGGGTATTGATAACAAAGACAGCGGTATCTGTGGGTACTGATAACAAAGACAGTGAATGTGTGGGTACTGATAATAAAGACAGCGGTATCTGTGGGTACTGATAACAAAGACAGCAGTATCTGTTGGTACTGATAACAAAGACAGTAAATGTGTGGGTACTGATAACAATGACAGCGGTATCTGTGGGTACTGATAACAAAGACAGTGAATGTGTGGGTACTGATAACAAAGACAGTAAATGTGTGGGGACTGATACAAAAGACAGTGGATTCTGTAGGTTGTGATAACAAAGAGAGTGAATGTGTGGGTACTGATAACAATGACAGCGGTATCTGTGGGTACTGATAACAAAGACAGTGAATGTGTGGGTTCTGATAACACAGACAGTGAATGTGTGGGTATTGATAACAAAGACAGTGAATGTGTGGGTACTGATTACAAACGACAGTTAATCTGTGGGTACTGAGAACAAAGACATCAGTATCTGTGGGTACTGATAACAAAGACAGTGAATGTGTGGGTATTGATAACAAAGACAGTGAATGTGTGGGTACTGATAACAAAGACAGTGAATGTGTGGGTATTGATAACAAAGACAGTGAATGTGTGGGTATTGATAACAAAGACAGTGAATGTGTGGGTACTTACAACGAAGACAGTGGTTGTGAGGTTACTGAAAACAAAGACACTCATAATATATTTTCGTAAGCTATTAACGTATTTACCTGCAAACCGTTGCCATGTCTTTTATATTTTGGGCTTGGTTTCCCCAGTTTTCGGAACATTTCCCCACAGCGGCAAAGTCGCAGTCAGCACAGCAGCTCCATACCAGACCTGCCAAGAAAAGAACAGAAACCTAACGTGGGGGAATTATTCTGTCGTGCTGTCAAAATCGTGCAACATTGATTATAACGAATTTTCAACGAGGCGGAACTACAGTTGCAGTGCATTTCATATCTTACAGAAGGAAGACATCTCAGAGTGACAAACAATAACGATCCACGAGGCTGTATGACAAGACGGATGACTTCAACTTACCAATAGTCAACATTCCCTTTATGCCTACATTTCGCAGCTTACGAATATTTCAGTGAGTGAATTGTGTTATTTTCTGATTGAAAAGTATTCCAGGTACATCACGGGGGTGGGGAGAGCATGACTTTGTGCTGGTCTTACAGTCCACTTTGATGAAATCCACGAGCAAGGTAATTGGACCGACAATCCTGCAATAATAACGACACCCCTGGAATAGCAGGGCGGATCTGGGACTAGAATCAAGAGGCATATGTTCCTGCATGCTGGACAAACTACAAGGGTCGATCCGGGAAAATGTGGTTGATTAAAGACTGTTTTAAAACTTTTGAACGTTTACATTTTTATTAATGTCTACCATAAGCAACCATGGATGCCATGGGAATGATACCATTGTTATGATACCATTGCTAGGAAGGATCATGCAAGGGGCCCACCAACACCTCCGGATTTAACGACCTATCCGACTGTGATAGCAGGAGTGTACAATATGTACCTGCATGTCTAATATTACACGGGGGCACGGGTGGCCCAGTCGTCTAAGGCGCCGCGATTCGCTGTGCAGAGTTGCGTCGCTTGGGCACGCCAGAAACCTATGATTGTGGGTTCGAATACCTGTTCGCCCCGATTATGTTTCTAGGTTTGTCAGCACCATACCCGTGCTCGTGGGTTTCACAGAAGTGGTAAACGTCTGAGACCTGCATCACTTCGGGCTTTCCTCCCAAAAGCGGCGTAAACCCAACTCACTAACTCTAATATTACACTGATTGAAGTAAACCTACATCTGTGGTACAAAACTACTTGAGAGAGAGAGAGAGAGAGAGAGAGAGAGAGAGAGAGAGAGAGAGAGGGGAGGGGGAGAGGGAGAAGGAGAGGGAGAGGGGGTGAGAGAGGGAGAGAGAGGGGGAGAGAGAGAGAGAGATAGGGGAGAAAGAGACAGAGAGAGAGAGAGAGAGGGAGAGGTGGGGAGAGAAAGGGGAGAAAGGGACACACAGAGAGAGAGAGAGGGGGAGAGGAAGAAGGAGAGGGAGAGGGGGTGAGAGAGGGAGAGGGAGGGGGGAGAGAGCTGTTCTGTGTTCAGTTGGTACAGCGTGTTCAGTCCAACTGCCACTTGCTCGCACATTATACAAACAATTGCTCTTGGCGAATAAGGGATATTATTGAAAAATAATCAACCTATCCTTGAGGTGGCCTTTGACCTCAATCCGTGTTGAGGATCCATATTTAGCTCCAAAAACATTTATTGTTCCATTATACCGGAATACAGTTATACGGAGCTTTATTTTGACCTTTTCTGTCGCTGAAGTCAAGCATGTGAACGAAATGTTCTAAACACCAAAAAACTACAAGACAGGTCGCTAAACACCGAATTAACTGCCACTAGCAGAATATATTTTCCAGCAGACGAGGTCAGTATTGATATTAACATATTGACGGGTAAGTCCTTTTTTAATGTTAGGTCAGACTGACATTTATGGTTTCCCTACGCAATATGGATTGTTCAATGAAACAAAAACTCTCAATAAAGACACAACAACATCTAATCAATGAATTTTTTTTTTCAATTTTGTGATTTTGTCAAAGGATTACAGTCACAAATTGTAAAAATCCATTAGTCGTCCAATCCAAGATTTAAAACAAATACGTCGGGTGAATGTTGAGGTCACGTCTAGGGTAGCCTCTCTCCCAGTCCCTAGAGAATAAAATTGAAAAAAAGAGTTCAACTTTAGTCCAGAAGGATTTGGCAAGGATTGTTCTGGGCTCCATTTGGATTTTATTTTGTTTATTTTGTGGATATATATTTTCGAATAAGATTCTGGGACTCAGTGTCAGTCGAGTACATGGACGGACCGTTTTCGTCAGTTTACGCCATACATACATGTAAGTGTTACTTCGCGTCTCATACAGAGATACATTTCACTGCTGTGCCAAATCAAGGTCGTATTCATATTGATTTGATCGATTGTTCAGTATGCTTCAAAATAACTTCAGAACGATCTGAGCAATCGAAGACAGTTATTAAAACACGGACTATTTCCATTCCGTAACTGAAGCATCTTGACCTACCAGTTGTCCTTTACGCTGCCAAGCTCACTGCAGGGCCTACAACATATCGCTGTGAGGAGCTTGCGGTGCTAATAATCAACAAGTCGGTACATCGCGAAGTTAGTAGGTCACGATTCACCCAGCAAAGGAGAACAAGCAATTTTGGAATGGTGAGTGCAACAAGCATGACTTACAAAATCAATGAGGAGCTCCCATGGATTATTACCACAATCACTTTAACAGATACGTGAAAATGTGTGCATTATTCTGTAACGTCACCATTCTGTGCAGCTAGTGTTCAGCATGAACCGGAATGATTTTATCTATATAAGCCTCCACATGTCTGCCATTTCAAAGAATCATTTCTTTTCCTGTAAACGTATTTTACGGTGTTGTATTTCAATTGATACAGACGAACGATGGCGGTTAGACCGAGCGACGACACAGAAGGCCGGGGGATTTCGGGACTGCAACGAAATCCTATTTTCATACTGATGCTGTGCGGTAGACTAACACTTAACGAAAGAACCTTTCCTCTTCTGCTGTCCTAATCAAGCAGCCTAGACTTGGTTTGTGTGACCTAGACTTGCCTAGGCTTTTAGTAAAAGATGGCTGTTCACTTACTGCTGCTGTTGATGCGGTAGATAGCTGATTACTTGCTGCTGTTGAAATGGTAGATAGCTGATTACTTACTACTGCTGTTGATGCGGTAGATAGCTGATTACTTGCTGCTGTTGATGCGATAGATAGCTGATAACTTGCTGCTGTTGATGCGGTAGATAGCTGATTACTTGCTGCTGTTGATGTGGTAGATAGCTGTTCCCTTGCTGTTGCTGTTGAAGTGGAAGAGAGCTGTTTAGTTGCTTCTGATGAAGGTGTGGTGGATAACTGTTTACCCGCTGCTGCTGTTGAGGTGATATATATATGTTTACTCGCTGTTGCTGTTGAAGTGGTAGAGAGCTGTTTACTTGCTTCTGATGAAGGTGTGGTAGATAACTGTTTACTCGCTGCTGCTGTTGATGTGGTAGATAACTGTTTACTCGCTGCTGCTGTTGAAGTGGTAGAGAGCTGTTGAGGTGATAGATAGATGTTTACTCGCTGCTGCTGTTGAAGTGGTAGAGAGCTGTTTACTTGCTTCTGATGAAGGTGTGGTAGATAACTGTTTACTTGCTGCTGTTGATGTGGTAGATAGCTGATTACTTGCTACTGCTGTTGATGCGGTAGATAGCTGATTACTTGCTGCTGTTGATGAGGTAGATAGCTGATAACTTGCTGCTGTTGCTGCGGTAGATAGCTGATTACTTGCTGCTGTTGATGTGGTAGATAGCTGATAACTTGCTGCTGTTGATGCGGTAGATAGATGATTACTTGCTGCTGTTGATGCGGTAGATAGCTGTTCCCTTGCTACTGCTGTTGATGCGGTAGATAGCTGATAACTTGCTGCTGTTGATGCGGTAGATAGCTGTTCCCTTGCCGCTGCTGTTGAAGTGATAGAGAGCTGTTTTCTTGCTTCTGATGAAGGTGTGGTAGATAACTGTTTACTTGCTGCTGCTGTTGAGGCGATAGATAGATGTTTACTCGCTGTTGCTGTTGAAGTGGTAGAGAGCTGTTTACTTGCTTCTGATGAAGGTGTGGTAGATAACTGTTTACTCGCTGCTGCTGTTGATGTGGTAGATAACTGTTTACTCGCTGCTGCTGTTGAAGTGGTAGAGAGCTGTTGAGGTGATAGATAGATGTTTACTCGCTGCTGCTGTTGAAGTGGTAGAGAGCTGTTTACTTGCTTCTGATGAAGGTGTGGTAGATAACTGTTTACTTGCTGCTGTTGATGTGGTAGATAGCTGATTACTTGCTACTGCTGTTGATGCGGTAGATAGCTGATTACTTGCTGCTGTTGATGAGGTAGATAGCTGATAACTTGCTGCTGTTGCTGCGGTAGATAGCTGATTACTTGCTGCTGTTGATGTGGTAGATAGCTGATAACTTGCTGCTGTTGATGCGGTAGATAGATGATTACTTGCTGCTGTTGATGCGGTAGATAGCTGTTCCCTTGCTACTGCTGTTGATGCGGTAGATAGCTGATAACTTGCTGCTGTTGATGCGGTAGATAGCTGTTCCCTTGCCGCTGCTGTTGAAGTGATAGAGAGCTGTTTTCTTGCTTCTGATGAAGTTGTGGTAGATAACTGTTTACTTGCTGCTGCTGTTGAGGCGATAGATAGATGTTTACTCGCTGTTGCTGTTGAAGTGGTAGAGAGCTGTTTACTTGCTTCTGATGAAGGTGTGGTAGATAACTGTTTACTCGCTGCTGCTGTTGATGTGGTAGATAACTGTTTACTCGCTGCTGCTGTTGAAGTGGTAGAGAGCTGTTGAGGTGATAGATAGATGTTTACTCGCTGCTGCTGTTGAAGTGGTAGAGAGCTGTTTACTTGCTTCTGATGAAGGTGTGGTAGATAACTGTTTACTTGCTGCTGCTATTGAGCTGGTAGATAGCTGTTTACTTGCTGCTGCTGTTGGTGTGGTAAAAAGTTGTTTACCTGCTGCTGTTGCTGACGTGATGTTGCTGTTGGTGGCTGTAGATAGCTGTTGGGTACGTGCTTCACGCAGAGAATGCTTTAGTCGATGCTGGAGAGATCAGGTTGATGTTACACATGACCCCCACACAACAGGCTCTGTTTATATCGCGTCATAATACACGGTATTGCACTGGCAAGCTATTTTTAACGCGACCTCATTTATACGAGGCTTTAATTGGGTTAAACACCATCAATCCCACGATAGGTTGGCGTTGAACACTTTTCTCCTCCTCATCAACCAAGTCAGAGAGCCTGACCACCCGATCCCGTTTGTCACTTCTTACGACAAACAGGAGCTTCTGAAGATCAATTTGTAACCCGGATCTTCACGTGTACAACCCAATTGTAACTGCTCTTGAACCACAACATGCGGTATTAACCCCCAGCTTTCAAGGTTATTTCAGTAGAGCAACATCATTTACACCCGTTTACTTAGGAACGAAAGATAACAAAAGTATAGATGAAGTTGCAGAATTATCTTAGTTACTCTGGCATAGTTTTTTAGGATAAACATATGAAATTAATGTCCCGTGTGGAATCATTTTACCTGCCAGAGAAAAAACCATTTCACGAGGGACATAAACTTGACATCAATAGGAACGTGTTTGTGTCCTATTTAATACCAACGACGCTGTTATTGGCAGAATTACGTCATATCCCCAGACTGAGAGCAAAGTCCGCATAGGCAAAAGAAGTGTAAAATACATAAAGTCGCACCACTTCCTGAATGCAAAACAGCATTGCGAACACAATACGGACTGCGGAAGTATTTGGGAAACATAATCTCCTTCAACTCCCTTTGTATTAACTCGTTCAGGTTAAAATGACATTAATTTGCCTACTGTCGACATGATGATAGTCTAGGGAGGATTGTATTATACACAATTTTTTCTCATTTAAAATAAAACAAATATTCTGACGATGATTGTTAACTTTAGCTAACCAGACTTGCTTTTATACACATCTAGATTGGTTTTGTGTTCATAATATACAATTCCACAGTCATAGCACAGGGTTATCTCCAAGTATATCAGAAGTGAGATTCCTTGACAAAACTTTAGAGGCATCAGTGAATACCAGTATGTAAGTATGTATGAGTTGGGAATGACGCCGTTTTTAACAGTATTCCAGTTATATCACGGCGTGTCAGCTTAATGTGGGAGGAAAGCCCGAAGTGATGCAGGTCTCAGACGTTTACCACTTCGGTGAAACCCACGAGCACGCGTATGGTGCTGTCAAACCTAGAGTGAGTGAGTGAGTATGGTTTAACGTCACTTTTAGCAATAATCCAGCAATATCACGACGGGGGACACCAGAAATGGGCTTCACACATTGTACCCATGTCGGGAATAGAACCCGGGTCTTCGGCGTGACGAGCGAACGCTTTAACCACTAGGCTACCTGACCGCCCGTCAAACCTAGAAACATAATCGGGCCGAAGAGGGATTCGAACCTCCAAACTTAGGTTTCTGGCGTGTCCAAGAGACGCAACTCTGCACAGCGAATCGCGGCACCTTCGACGACTGGGCCACCCGTGCCCCACTAGAATGTTACTCCGAAAAGCAGAAACAAAAGCATCCTAAACAGCTTAAACAATATTTCGACGATTTTAATTTAAGAATTGATTTCCACCTTGCTGAAAGAAGACATCTCCCAAACGATAGCTGATTCAGGGTAAGTGCGTCAAAATACATTAACTTCGTATACAGGATGACGGAATTTCCCAGGGCTTAACCCGCGAATGTGGGAGTTGTCCTTTATATTAAAGTCATTTGCGGAATACAATCTCGTGAAAAAAGTATAAACGTCAAAATGCGTCGTCCGTTCGCTCATAAAAGTCAGTTCATTTCAATGGAAAAGATGTATATTGTGAAAGCGTCACATTAAAAACATGTTCCTAAGCAAGTGTCCTGGTTTATGAAGGCAACATGGAGATGATCTGGGCGGGGAAGACTTATCCACAGGATGTACATTATTACCGCCTGTTGATCTATGATTGTCGTTAAATATCTCTCGTACACACTGTTCAGCAAACATAAATAACCTTTTGAAAATGAGCCACTATTGTTTGTTTGTTGTTTAACGCCGCACTCAGCAATATTCAAGCTATATGACGACGGTGTGTAAATAATCGAGTCTGAACCAGAAAGTCCAGTGATTGACATCATGAGCAACATTCACGCAGTTGGGGCACGATGACATGCATCAACCAAGGCAGCGAGCCTGACCACCCGATCCCGTTACTCGCCGTTTAGGGCAAGCATGGTTGGTGAAGAGCTATTCGAACCCTGATCTTCACGGGTAGAGTATGCATGTATGTATGTATGTATGTATGTATGTATGTATGTATGTAAGTATGTATGTATGTATGTATGTATGTATGTATGTAAGTATGTATGTATGTATGTATGTATGTATGTATGTATGTATGTATGTATGTATGCATGCATGTATGTATGTATGTATGTATGTATGTATGTATGTATGTATGTATGTATGTATGTATGATGTATGTATGTATGTATGTATGTATGTATGTATGTAAGTATGTATGTATGTATGTATGTATGTATGTATGTATGTATGTATGTATGTAAGTATGTATGTATGTATGATGTATGTATGTATGTATGTATGTATGTATGTATGTATGTATGTATGTATGATGTATGTGTGTGTGTATGTATGTATGTATGTATGTATGTATGTATGTATGTATGTATGTATGATGTATGTATGTATGTGTGTGTGTGTGTATGTATGTATGTATGTATGTATGTATGTATGTATGTATGTGTGTGTGTGTGTGTGTGTGTGTGTGTGTGTGTGTGTGTGTGTGTGTGTATGTATGTATGTATGTATGTATGTATGATGTATGATGTATGTGTGTATGTATGTATGTATGTATGTATGTATGTATGTATGTATGTATGGATGGATGGATGTATGTATGATGTATGTATGTATGTATGTATGTACATGTATGTATGCATGATGTATGTACGTATGTATGTATGTATGTATGTATGTATGTATGTATGTATGTATGTATGTATGTATCTTTAGAGGTGTATATAGTATATGTCCTCTGCGTGTCTGTCAGCTTGTCTTTCCCTCTGTCTGACGATATGTCTGCCTGTCTACACAATGTGTGTTCCTGTACCTGTCTTGAAGCAATAAGACGTTTTGACCATTTTAAACTGACAATAATTGTATTCAGCAACCACTTTGAGCGGGTGTTCCCACGATATCTGATTTTCCCGTACTTTCTAGGACGGATGAGCAAGCAGACGACAAACATAATATACCGCTCAGTGAACAGACGTACACGCACACGCACACGCACACGCACACGCTCTGATTCAATAGGTCGGATTTGGAAGTGGAATTATTTCTTTGAAATGGGAATCATGTGTGATTTAAACAAGCTATAATACAACATTTGTTTTTCACATGGATGAGTTGGAAAGGAGCTAACATGTGTGACATGGAAAATGGAATGTCACAAATCAAATATTTGAACATCTTTCAAAGCAGTAAACTGTTTTATTTTCAAGTTCTGTAAGGCAGCGATGTCAGGGTATCAGATTTGTTTAAGTGTTTATCCAATGGGACCCAGAACGAGACTGGAATTCCCTTCTCAGTTCTGTAATTAGCAGACAGGCCTCAAAGAGAGAGATGTAAGTGAGCCAAAGGAAGCTGCGCGCGTGTGTAAAGCTTTGCGAGATATGTTGAATTCAAATGGGTCACAATATGACACTTTCCACCAGACCTGACGAACGCTGCCAACCAAGATACCCGACCGCGCCAAAGATATAAGATCTGGGGTAGAATAGGTCTTCAGCAACCCATGCTTGCCGTAAAAGGCGACTATGCTTGTCGTAAGACTCGATTATTTACAGACCACCGTCATATAGCTGGAATATTGATGAGTGCGGCGTTAAACAACAAACAGAACAAACAAACCAGAGATATAAATCCGCTTACACATAGTCTATGGAATCCTTTGTTACACAATACAATTCTCTCCTCTTATTCATTTCCCTGATTCTGATGCGCTAGACATATAATCGACATTGGTTTGGGATTCATAAAATGCATACCCACAGTCATGAAGCATGACTAGGGACACGGCAACATTACACCGCATGTATATGTATGTATAACTGCAGCTTATTTCGGGCAAATACATTTATTTACAAAACATTTATGACACGAAAAGCATTCTTCAATCATCCTTCTATCACATAGCAGCATTTCATACCAACACGCTATAAAACAGTCACGCCAGACTTTATGAAATATATCATGACAAATGTTCTTAAAGTATCATTTTTGATTATAGCAAACCCTACCTGCAACTACGATGATGGAGAAAATAACCCTGTCCATGGTGAATAGTCCCGGCTGATAGATCAATGTTACCCTTACAACGCCAGGAGTTGAATGAGGATTTCGGCAACCGCAGCGCGTATGTCAGTAGTAACTTAAAGCTTCTACGCCAGCCACTAAGGATGAAGTCCGACCCTCGCAACAGCCAGCGCATCCTGGGAATGCCAAACATTCATCGATCAAGAACGTGAGTCAGGAGTAGTTGCACAATAACATTATGCTCGATAACGTCCCGACTCAGGCTTCACGGCTTGTAAAGTTTTGTTGGAATTTCAATTCTCGATATACTACTGTTTAAGGATGAAGCTGTTTTCCAAATTGTTCTTGAAAATATGAACCTATATGCGAGTGTGATTTACACAGTTAATAAAGTATTTGTGTGTTTGCATCTTGTTAAAAACAAATTAGGGATACTCTTCCTGTTGCCTTTGATTCGACAAACCTGACATTACTACGTTTCTGCTGAATATCCTTTTCCTTCATTTAAAATATCATTCACAGTGTGGTGTTCAGCATTACGAGACGTCCAGGATATCGACATTTTGGTATACTAGTTCTGTTTCATATACACGGTCTTGTGGTTCTCTCTTGGCCTGTGGTAGCCTTGAAAGCTTTGCTTCAGAGTAACGGTGCGTGGCCCAGCCCTCGACTCGCTATTCTTAGAATTGGGTCGCATGGCTAGGATTAAATTGCAACGGACTCCAGACCCAGATTCCAGCGGCTGTGTTCGACCGGACCAGGTCTTGCAAAGATGGGACGTGTAAACAAAACACTGACTTGGGTAACAATGCACCAGTGTAACACCGAGGAGAGAATGTCTGTGTTTAAAGCATGGTATGTTTCTTCTTTGGAAGTTTTTTTTGTCAGTTATCGATTCTGGTGAGGAGAATTTTGGTTTCTTGCCAGGATATATCGTGGTCAGGATTGTAGATGGGATGTACTGATAGCGTATATTGATTTTGTATCAGAGGTCTTGTGTCCTTTTTGTTCGGACACTACAACGATACATGTTTACAAATCACACTTTGCAGGCACCGTGATTGCATAGTGGATTATGTGATCATGGGCTGTCAATATGAGTTTATTTTCTCGGATTCAATTGAAATGGATATAGGTAGGCCATGAAGTTATGCTACTGATATAATCGAACATACTGCTGTGTCATTGACAACTACTAGCAATATGAAAACAAGAAGAATAAACTGCATTACGTATTTTCAATACAACCATTCTGACGTTGAACACTAACCCTGCGGTGTGATGAGATCAAATATTAGACTGAAATCCCCCCCCCCCCCCTCTCTCTCTCTCTCTCTCTCTCTCTCTCTCTCTCTCTCTCATAATAATAATATTTTAATTTATGTAGCAGTTCACAAACTAAATATGTTCAGTGCGCTTTAGCAACCGTAAGACTGTTAAAACAGTTGGTATCTTGTTCTGTTCTTGCATTTGGCACATACATTCATGCTTTATATCATTTTCAAGCATTCTCCTGAACCGTGGAAGCATATTACCTAACCGTTGCTTTTATAATGGATTTGTATTGACTCCAAGCCGTGCTACAGCTAGATTCCAGGGGGTAATCTTTTATCGTTAGAGATAATTATCCTGCCCCTCTCCTGCAGCCTCTAGAGGATGTTGCGGGCTATCTCGTTATCTGATCACAATGCAACAATCCATTTAGCATAAGAGCTGTCATTATTGATTGGCGTTTTACTTTATACAGCGTTTGGGAGTATCTGTTAGGATATTCACCCCGATATTATGTTTCAGTTATAACTCTTTAAACAACAATTGGAAAAAAATATATATCAAAGCTCCTGCTTCGCACTACGTAGAGTACATGGCATACGTGAGTTCGCTCTATATGACAGGTTCCTGTCTGTGTGACAAAAACAAAATCAAACTTGTATATGGCAACTCAACACCATGGACGCTGCATTTACTTCATGGACGCTGCATTTACTTCGGGACCCGTGAAGATATGGGTTAGAAAAGGTCTTCAGCAATGGTCTTCATACTTGCCGTAAAAGGCGACTATGCTTGTCGTAAAAGGCGACTAGGCTTGTCGTCAGAGGCGACTATGCTTGTCGTAAGAGGCGGCTAACGGGATCGGGTGGTCAGGCTAGCTGACTATGATCGATGTACATCAATCACTGGATAATCTGGCCCAGACTCGATTATTTACAGACCGCCGTCATATAGCTTGAATGGCGAAACCGCATTATCGGTGGTTCAAGAAGGGAGCTAACTCCACTTGCCTAATCGAAAGTTTGAGGTGGACCCACATTCGAAACTAAACGCACTTGCTGTGGAGAATAGTACGAACACGTCCCATTTTAATTCTGGAAACCCAAAAGTCCAGAAACTCTACGCCCTTTGCCCAGGCTCGGTTAAAGGTATTTACAAAATTAAACATGCCGTTTTCATGGGAACATACCAAGGAAGAAAAAATGAAAAAAAAATTGTTTAAAAACTCAATATTTAGACTATGTCGCCCATGGGCCTGCCCATGGGCGAAGTGTGGCCCATGGGCGAAGTCTGGCCCATGGGTAGGCCCATGGGTAGGCCCATGGGCGAGAATATGTTCCTTTACTTAAAACTCATGTTTTTGATTCGCAAATACATTTAATGTATCCATTCAAGTATCATGACACAATATTTAACTCATTTTAACTTAATTCAACGATTTTATGGCGATATTGAAATATTTCGCCCATGGGCGAGAAAAAGGTTTGGCCCATGGGCGAGAATATGTTCCTGTACTTAAAACTCATGATTTTGTTTCGCAAATACATTAAATGTATTTATTGAAGTATCATGACACAAAATTTAACTCATTTTAACTTAATTCAACGATTTTATAGCGATATTGAAATATTTCGCCCATGGGCGAGAATATGTTCCTGTACTTAAAACTCATGATTTTGTTTCGCAAATACATTAAATGTATTTATTGAAGTATCATGACACAAAATTTAACTCATTTTAACTTAATTCAACGATTTTATAGCGATATTGAAATATTTCGCCCATGGGCGAGAAAAAGGTCTTGCCCATGGGTAGGCCCATGGGTAAGCCCATGGGCAGGCCCATGGGCGAGAATATGTTCCTTTACTTAAAACTCATGTTTTTGTTTCGCAAATACATTTAATGTATTCATTTAAGTATCATGACACAAAATTTAACTCTTTTTAACTTAATTCAACGATTTTATAGCGATATTGAAATATTTCGCCCATGGGCGAGAAAAAGGTTTGGCCCATGGGCGAGTATATGTTCCTGTACTTAAAACTCATGATTTTGTTTCGCAAATACATTTAATGTATCCATTCAAGTATCATGACACAATATTTAACTCATTTTAACTTAATTCAACGATTTTATGGCGATATTGAAATATTTCGCCCATGGGCGAGAAAAAGGTTTGGCCCATGGGCGAGAATATGTTCCTGTACTTAAAACTCATGATTTTGTTTCGCAAATACATTAAATGTATTTATTGAAGTATCATGACACAAAATTTAACTCATTTTAACTTAATTCAACGATTTTATAGCGATATTGAAATATTTCGCCCATGGGCGAGAATATGTTCCTGTACTTAAAACTCATGATTTTGTTTCGCAAATACATTAAATGTATTTATTGAAGTATCATGACACAAAATTTAACTCTTTTTAACTTAATTCAACGATTTTATAGCGATATTGAAATATTTCGCCCATGGGCGAGAAAAAGGTTTGGCCCATGGGCGAGTATATGTTCCTGTACTTAAAACTCATGATTTTGTTTCGCAAATACATCAAATGTATTTATTGAAGTATCATGACACAAAATTTAACTCATTTTAACTTAATTCAACGATTTATAGCGATATTGAAATATTTCGCCCATGGGCGAGAAAAGGGTTTGGCCCATGGGCGAGAATATTTTCCTTTACTTAAAACTTATGTTTTTGTTTCGTAAATACATGCAGGAGTTCTAACTATTTTCATGGCACATAATGTAACACAATTTTACTCAATTCAGCTATTTTACAGATTTATTGAAATATTTCGCCCATGGGCGAGAAAAGGTTTTGCCTTCGAATTCCTTGATTATTATATCATGCCAGAGTTCTGAAATTCAGTGACAATGCTGTTGAACAGTAGAATCTGATTGACGTATTTTACAGAACCTGTTTGACACTATGGGTTCCAGGACCACTAACACTCTGAGCTGAAAAAGTTGGGTCCTAACCGCACCCAACATCTTTAATGAACCCGGCCTTATCTCTCAAAACGTTTTGGCAGTTTATCATACGAATTCATGTGCGTGTACAACATTAAATTTTAGTTAGTTTCTATTTCATTTCCCATTTTATGACCCGTTGATACATCACACTGGGCAATTACGTGACAGGTACGCGTGCGCGTATTTTAATGGAAAGAAACTATTCGTCTTTTATTGCATAACGTTTGGCTGAATATCTTACATTCTAACGAAATCTCGAAATAATTATTTAATTACAAGCAGTGTCGAACTGACCAGTGGGAATTATGTTTCAATGCGATTGAGGAAAACGTGAGTGAATATTGTGACACTAAAGCAACTTTTAACTGCATTGTCACTTTTGGTATGAAAATGGTAATAGTTAAGAAAAACGTAACAGCCTTCTTATGATAATACTCATATTCTCATTAGTACGTTGTGTCTAATTACAGTGTCGGCCTTATTTACAGGTGATTCTACAATACTTGTTGTCGGTCAATTACAATCTGCCACACCACGCGTGAATAAACAGTTATGCAGGTGTTGCTGTGGGCAAATACCTAGCCTGTACATGTATATTTTTGTGGATACATGTATTACATATTTTCGTTGATATGTGGATATATTAAACACCAAGACACAAAAAGTTTATGAAAGATGAATTTGTGCCTTGATATATATATTCAACGCGAACGAAGCTTGTATTTTCTCCGCGATCCTGATGTGTATTATCGTTTAATTGGTCATTCATTAAAAGTATGTTGTGAGGCGATATCAAAGGAGCCGCTCAATATACGCAGTGTCGTCCGTTTCGCGTGAACTACCACCCTACCCTGTCAGTAAGAGTTATGTAATCGGTACACAAATATATTTGGTGCGATGTCAGTGTGGAAGGAGTTTGAATTACGTCCGCCAGTGGCCAC